TGTAGCATCAAAAGAGTTGTCCATTGCAAATTTGAGAAATTGGGTAGGTGGCAGTTCCTGCTGCTCCCGCACGATTCGTACGGCTATAAAATCTTGGTCGATTCCTGCTGAGATTACTCAAGCCTATCACTTCTCCAGAACAGGTTGGCCAGGTTCTTCTGAGGGTGAAGAAACCATCTTCAACATTAGCTACCCTAACCTACCCCATCCTACCTTCGCTGTAGGCAAACTTCCCTTTTTCGTCTACTACTTTGTCGAATGAGTACAGCAGTTTATGTGAAGATTTCCCACGCTCAACCATAATAAAGGTGAAAAATGCCTAACGATAAGGTGGATGACTTTTCCTTCTTCCTTCCCTTACTGGCTAGCACAGAGAGAAGTTACTGATAGCGTTAAGTTTCGGTCCATGGGCACGTGCGGAACGGGAACCGGCCTACCTTTTTATTCTGACCCCGACAATAGTAATTTACCAAATTAAAAACCATTATGTGAAGTAGGGTTGAAAAAAAATGTTGAGGAGTGTTTGAATGTGAATTTCTTTTCATAAACTTCAACTAGTGAGCAATGAATGAGCAATATCTTCAACGCCGCTAAGAACAACAGGTAAACCTGATAGAGGTGCTGAAAAACAGATTGCAGTGTAAGCACAAAGGATGGTTAACTCAAAATATGACTCGCAGTAATGTTCCTGTTGAGATCAATCAAAGACGGGAACTGCAATTCCTTAAGGTGCATACAAATCTATAAATTCACTTACTTCAACTGTTGAGTTTGATCCTCAAAAATTACTGTGGAATTGCCGCGATGAATCTCAGATGAATATTAGGAAATCAACATAGTTAGTTGTACAGATGCTCAGACCATGGTCTGGCTTAAAAGCATATATTCGAATTGGTTCAGGTCTCAAACATTAGAAGAGATTTGTTCGCTCAAGGACGGTGAGCACGATAAGGTGAGTCTCACCAGGGAACTTTATGCACCAGTGGAAGCGGTGGCTAGACTGTAAACTCAAAAAAGCCATCCTCCTTTGAACCCGCCCCGCTTCCAGGTGTGGCATTTGATCAGCGTCTGGTTTTCATATTGGAACTGTATTTCGGGTTTATTAAATGGGTCGAACGTTTGAGCAACTCGCTGCAATGCGAATCTGTCTCTCACGAAATTAGTGGTATTCTATTTTGATTTTTTATTTGAAAACGACAAATGTATCAAAGGTCTGCTTTTTTCCTGAGGTCGTTCGACCCCACCTTGCAGAGAATATTCATAAAAAATTGGAGACTCTCAGGCTAGCAGTTCTTCCACCTCCGCTGTGTGGCCCTATCCTCGTGCCAACAAAAGACAACCCAGTCTGAGCTCTAGCGCTCTTCCCCAGGAAGAAATTTTACGCTAAGTGACATGACCTCAAACCCGACTTCCAGTCTTTCTTCGTTCAAGAGCTCCTGCAATTTCAGAGGAAAGACAGCGACTAAATTCCCAGGCAATACATTGTAGATGACAGAGGTGTATGTTTGGATGAGCAAAGACTCCACATAAAAAAGAAAAAAATTTGAATTCAAAAATACCCAAAGTGATTCACTAATTATGGGACAACCTGATAAAAGTCATACTAAGGAAAGCTAGGGGCAGAGGCGAGAGAATGGCAAGCAGACGATAGCCATAGTGGTGAGCGAAACGGAGTACCGCAACGGTGGATTTGCGTGGTTGTTTGAGGTATCCAAAGTTGCAAGTTCAAAGCCACTGGTAGCTTTTTTGTACACTTTTTGAAAACTAAAGTGGCCCGATCTCTGCGACTGGGACAAACTGACCTTATTCGCAACAGTGACTGGTTCAATGATCCACTTCGAGAATGTGCCTTTGATGGGAGCTCAGGAGAGACATTCGGTAATTTTTGTCGTCGTAAGTCCCAAGAGATCCAATGAGAGGAAGGTTCATGTGCATGGCGTGTCCCTGAGAGGTCGATTGTGGCACATGATTTTCCATCTTTATCTATGCGTGAATCTTGTTTGAAGATGGATGTCTTGTCAATCACACTGCTTCTGACTCTTATGCACTTTTGTTTCCTTTATGACCTCACAAGGTGCCACAAAACGACGAAGCTACAGAGCAGTGTGTGAAAAGCTCTCCCCCAGACCTCCATCCTCTCATGATCCATCAGCTTTGTTAAGCAAAAATGCATGGAAGTAGACCTCTCACAAAAAATACATTACGTGGGGGCAATGCTATGGGATATACTTGTATCTAACTTAAGTAGACATGAAGGTCAGTTAGATGCTTGCTCTGCAGGGCAAATGGTGTGGCATACGGCGAAAGGACACCCATGAATTCCTCAGCAAGGAAATTCATAGGTGCAATTTTAATGTAACCAGCCCAGTTCGTGAAAAAATGCGCATCCCGCGCATCTACCCTGGGGCCACCCCATCTGTTAACACCAAAGAGCTCCAACGCAGCTTTTCAGTGCGCCCATTTAACCATTTTCGCCAGTTATGCTCTCAAGAGCTCAATCTTTCTTGACGATTCTGATGTTTGTCATGCGTAAATCTGCTCCAACGTAGTTTGCTCTAGCTCCAGTGCACATGGCTCATACTGCACCTTTCTACCACGAGAAAAAAGTGAAAGGGGCACTATCGTAATATATGGGGACATATTCTAGAACTAAGCCTAGGAGGGGACAAGAACACCGAAAAAAAGCTCTAATGGCCTACGCACCTTGGAGTCTCACCATCCCCGCCTAGGGCTGCCGTTTGTCGACAAAAAGGACATGTAGTACGCGGGTTCAAATGTATTGTCACCACAGTGCTCCCGTATATTATCATAGTGCCCTGAAAGGGTTAAGCATGCGACGTTAAGCAACATTCCTTCGCGAATGCGCCGCGCATTTACTCCCATCCAAGACTGTAGTGGCATTTCGAATGCGGTAACACCTGTACAATGACATACCGGTCGACCTTCAGTGTTTTTATCCTCCCGGACAGTTCTCTTATCAATAACCCAGCCCGAGTGGGTAGAAAGCCGAGTCTGGACCTCCAAAACCTGCGCAGGGGGAGTATCCTCACTTACTACTACAGTACCACCATTTATCACCAAGGTAAAGCTATCATATCCAGCATTGTTCTCAAACTAACCACGCAAACCTGGTTCTGAAATGAAACAATGTGTTATGGGAAGAAAGGAAAATATCAAGGTAGCCGAGATCTGTACCAGGTCTTGGAAGGACAAATAGAGGGAATATTCTGAAGCAGGCAAGAGGCGCATTGAAGGAAAGGAGACAGTATGCAGGCCGGGAAACTAGAATTACTTGCATAGCGAGCCGCAACAGAGGCCGGACGCATGACTGCTTGAGAAGAGGAGGGTGGGGTAGGATAAAAAAGAGCTGGAGTGTCCTTTGAAGTTCATACATATGAAAGTCCTAGTCCATAGTTGCACTGGCCTGCACGCTCGACATATCCGGTGTCCTTCCAGGAGCTTGTTTTTGAACTTTGAATTGCCTTTTCAAAATTTTTAAACTAGAAAAATTAAAATGTTCAAACCTCTAAGTAATGTCTTCGGTAAGTAATGCCTGTGCTGAATTGTATTGCATTGTTCTTTCTTCTTTGATAGCTTTCATTCTAAATAGAAGCAAAGTCGCAAAAACGATTATTTTGTTCTGCGCTTTTACTGTTCGTGACTTTCTTTTACCCACATCTGTAAAGCTCCAATTTGCAACTTGAATTTGGGAAGGAACCTTTGACCCTCCCCCACCTCCAGGTCGGTAACAGGTGTCTGAAAACAATCGATACCATTTTAACCCTATTTTTAATCATATGTTTTCGACAACGAAGTTCAAAGAGGTTGATAGCTCTTGTTAGCGTCTTATTTACATCAAAATACTATCACTTCGGTTGATAAGATATCCCTCATTAGCACCCACAACCATTATTCATTGCTGAACAGTAATTGACCCTTTCCTCCAGGTGTTGACACAGTGAAAATTTCTTCGCTCTCCTTGCGGTTATCAGTTATCCGCTACGAGGATTCATGATCAAAAATATATTGAAAATAAGTATGTGACGTACGGGCGGATGTGGTGTACTGGTGTGACGCTACTTTCCACGCATAGGGTTCTGGAGTTGAAACTCGGTCCTAATCTTGCTTGAGCTAACATTCCCTCCAGTACTGTTCAATAGCTACCAGGCTGGTCTAAGTGGATAAGAATGGCTAAGTGGTAAATGGGCTGCCTGCTCAAGTCATTGTAAAAGCCAAACCGCCTTCAATCGCCTCTGCGATTCTGAATGGCTGTAGAAGACATGGCTCATTCCAGAATGAGATTGGCGGCCTTATGCGTTATTTTCTTTCTGCGCTACTGCTTTATGCTCCATCCTTTCAACTAGTCTTGCATCGCCATTATATGTTTGATCGGAGGACGCATATTTGAAGTCAGGATGACGGATAGTGGTAGTAGTGTTTACAGAAAGCCGTAAACATCTTCTTTCCTCTCCGAGAGGTTTGACATGTGAAGCGCCTAATCGACTATGGGCTACTACTTGCCACTTTTCTGAAATAAGGGTGCATAGCCAGGGTGACAATGTGTACATAGTGCCTGACAAAATATCTCCAACTTGGTTTGTACGAGAATCTCACGCGCCATTTGACCTTAAGAGTCAGCTCTTCCTCTGCGCATACACACACTCGCACTTCAGGCACGATTGATGATTAACCGACATCAATCTATCCTGCCAATGGTGTAAGAACGGCTAGCCGTCAGGACAGGGGGCGGGTCTTTTTGAGGGTGTGCGTATGGGTGGAAGAGATGAAGACATGAGCACGTATTCAACACACTTGTTCTAGTAATTCTAAAGCTGATCGCCTCAAAAATATCACAATACTCGCTGTTATCACAGATGAATCCGCTTCTATTTATTCCTACAGTCACCGTTGACGCCATCTGATGTGATCATTTTTCTAATACCCTGTGTACGACTTTCTACTGTTGCGATTCTTTCGTGTTTCTCTCGTAAACACCGAAAATGATCGTTTCGGCTGCTGATCGAAGGAAAAGATTGATGAGAAGAATCCACACGCTCCAATCGGAGGACCATAGTACACATGGAAGTTCGCTTGATCTAGACTTCTCGTTGCCGCTCGACGATGAGAGTTCCGAGGGACAATCCAGTCCACCTGTGATTGATAAAAATTTACTATTTGTTCCCGATATTCATGAACTAGCATTGGACAAAGGAGAAAGACCTCCTCACAAGCGGGTTCGCAACTACTGTTACTTTTTTAGAGAAGAATTTGTCATTAGGTAAATGTGATTAAATTTTACTATCAAAATATTACTGTTGGTGATTTTAGGATGTTATCGAGAAGATTCCGATGCGTGCTCGGTCACAAAGTTGGCTAATCCGTACTCGACATCTACTGCATGATGACAGGGTTTGTAATGCTGAGTATTAGGATGTTGCTTAAATTTCATTACGTCAACAAAAACGCTTCTCTAAACGCAATTATCGCTTCGATCTAATCATGTCTCAAGATTCAGCACAAAACCCTTTGTTGACTGGAGAATGAGCATTCCTCGCCTCAAATAGTCAAATCGATGGATATCATATTTCAATAAAAATCGTCTGGTTAAGCTCATTGAGATGCCTCATTTTTTCGAAACCGGAAAATTTAAGTAATTGATTCGGCCAACACGAATGATCTCGAATTTCAAATATTCCAAACAAATAATATTGCTTGATTTGTTGTGTTTTCAGCAAACTTCACCGCTCATTTCTCACATGATGCTTATATTCTCCATTCTACTATTTTTCATGTCCTTACCTTGGAGTTTGTTGTTCTGTTTTAAAGTAATAAAGTAAGTTTGCCAAAAGACCAAACAACTGAGGATATCATTGGAACCATCGAGTTCAGAGAATATCAACGTGCTGTGATCTTCCGTTTGGGACGTTTAATCCGCGGTGGAACAAAAGGACCAGGATTATTTTTCATACTTCCATGTATCGACACTTGTAAAATTGTAAGTAGTTCTCTAGTTAAAGCAGATTAATTGATTGATTTGTACATTGACAAAAGTTGTCTCGGGTTGGGACAGAGCAACATGGGGCCGACTCTGAAATGATCTTGTAGAATTCACATCAGTTGCCACTAGCGTATGACGAATGGAGGCTGAGGCTCGTCTCGAGCCAATATTTATGGCCAACGGAGTCTACTAACGGCCTCGAATTAGCGCCAGATAACACCCAGTTCTCCATGAATCATCACCTCTTTTGAGCTTCTCTTCTCTTGGGGATAACCTCGGTAGAACCCAATGAAAAAGCACAGCATATCCCTCCAACACTTGACCCGATCATAGAGACCCGGACTAATTGAAAGGTAGCGGAAAAATAAACTTCGTCACGGCTCAAGAGGTGAAGACGTATCTCGCCGTGGCGCTGGTGCTCCCTGGGGGCCTCCCGACGTCGGGTTGTGCTTCCAGTTTCGCTTCCTCTAATGATGGTGATGTAGATGCTATTAGTTTTTTCATGTTCCCATGGGAAATTGTATATGTGTCATTAGGCTCACAAATTATGAATGAATATCTGTAAGTATAAATATCTATATTCGAAATATTCAAGGTCGATCTCCGAGTGCTTTCATTCGATGTGCCACCTCAAGAAATTCTCAGTCGTGATTCAGTGACTGTGTCTGTAGAGGCTGTTATCTATTTCCGAGTTTCAAATCCGGTAAGTCTTAAAGGCTTAGGAAAAATCTTGCGCTAGAACGCACAAATCTCCCGATCTGGTGTCACAGGGAGGCGTTCAGTACTCTCTCCCCACCCCAGGTTAGGTGACCGGATAGTTAAAAAGTAAGGTTAGGCAAAGGCTTGGGTTGAGAGCCAATGCCAGCCAAGATTGAGATCGCCACGAACAAATTAGAGGGTTACAATCTGAGAAAACCTGACCTATGCGGGGGGAAGCTGGTATTTTTCGAGGTAAGCAAACCAGCCCTTTTGGCGTTTCGGCTGGGACCGTATGCTGAATGTTGGGGAGGGGATGGGGTCCCCAACGGTCGACGGTTTACTTCAACTCGGTTGGTACGATAGGAGAGTACTGACGCAAGTGGTGCAGCTGGTCCAGCAGCTCCGCCAGAAGGGCTGGTTTGCTCACCCCAGGACTAAGCCTTGGAGAGGGGACGGACCCGTCCTCTCTTTAAGGCTTAGTTCTGAGGTAGCACCAAATTGTGGCGGTTCTAAGGACCGAGTTGAAGTGGTCCGTCCACCGTCGGGGACTCCATCCCCTCCCCAACATTCAGCATACGGTCCCAGCCGAAGCGCCAAAAGGGCTGGTTTGCTTACGTCGTATTTTTCCGGTGCAGTTTGCCGATTATGATCGTGATTGAGCAAGTAATGGAAGAGTCCTCCAACCTTTTCTTGGCGCCTGATACCCAGCTAGTAAATTGTTCCTCCATCAGCTTTCATTTTGAGATTTATTGATTTTGTCAATGGTTAGTAGTGCAACTGACTACTTATTTTCAATTTTCAACCACTTGCTTTCAACTTATTTCAACTTCATTTAGGTAATATCAGTGACGAATGTAAATGATGCTCAGTTCAGTACCCGTCTTCTTGCTCAGACCACTCTTCGGAATGTTTTAGGAACAAAAACCCTCAGTGAAATGCTGTCCGAACGTGATGCTATAGCAAGTGTAGGTCGCTTTGCCATTGAACGATTACGAACGTTGCTTTGAGAATCATAGTTTATGGGGGAAAGTGATGCATCAACAACAGCTGACACATCACGGACATGATCCCGTTTGTAAATGCTTACTCCACATCATCTGAGACAAGAACAAGTATTTATCGATTGGTTTTTCACTCAAAAAAAATTATTAGATTTGCGAAGCTCACGGCAATCGGCAATAGGTCGATCATTTGTTCGTGCGAGTGATACCTGTCCCTAGAAACACCGTCTTGTTGAGTGATCTGGAAGAAGGATTAGCCTAGGGGTTACGCCGAGGATCTCTCGATAAGAGCATTATATCTATTTGATAGAGATGGCAGTATACTTTGGGGGAGGACAAATACGACTTGGTAGGGTCGCAAGAATGTCTAGGAAGATTCAGGAAACTTTTTAGCACAGTTCAAGAAATTTCACAAAATTTTCGGAATGTATGGGAGTTCTGGGATTTCTTTGTTTTGTTTTACTGTATTTTCTACCCCTCTGCTCGACAGGGTTTTTCTGCGGGAACGTCACGTTCGATATCAAAGGTGATAAAATAGGATGGCAGCAGGACATGGAGACCCACGTGTGAACCTCACTAGGGAGATGAGTCCTATTAGCCCTGAAAATATCGTTTTTGCCGAATTTCCTCGACTTCTGGTTTACCACGATTTGCCAGCGGGGTGAAGGTGATGGTGGAATGAGGATGGGAATGGCAGTTTAGGAACTGGGAAGCGGTGTTTGTGTGGCTCCCTCACCGACTTTTGTTTATTTCTTCCAACAAAAGCGCACACATGCAATCGACAGTCGCTGAGTTTCTCACGAATTCCCAAATTTGACTCAATTCAAATTTGCCCCCCCCCCTTTGGCAATTGGCGCGTAGCGGCGGAGCAGGTTTCAAAAATGTCTCCCTTGCTAGAGAATTAAGGGTTCAAGCGTGATTGGTCCCTCAAAAAGGGTCCAATCACACTTGAACCCCTAATTCTCAAACTGGTCGGAAGTATGAGCCGGCCAAGATCCTGCCTAGGGTCAAATTGGAACGTTTTTTTAACATGCATAGAACGTAGTGGTTCACTGTGTAGTGAATATTTCCGTAATGGGAATTTTTATGGGAGTTATTTTTTAACAAGGAAATCCATATTGGACATAGAGAAATCTGGTACTGGTGAGGGGATACGGGAAGGGGGGGGGGAGTGGGAAGGGGAACAATCTTTATAGGCTCCGACTGCACTGCTCTGCAAGATTTACTTCTTTTGATGTATACCTTTTTCATGCAGATCAGTTTTCCTTTCCTACCTTTCTCCAATGTCATTCCTAGGAAATTACGCATAAGTTTCCAATTTCAAAATGGCCCGCAATGCCAAATATTCGATTTTCATATATTTTTTCGAAGATATTACATATTTGTTTTTCTTTTTATCCTTTTAAGACACTTCACTCAAGCAAGGGTACTAGCGTTTGTTATTTCTTTTTTTTTCAGATAACAGAAAAAGTACTCGACGAAGGAACAGATCCGTGGGGTGTGAAGGTATGCAACAGCACATTCCATCATCCGTCCCACATACTTCCGGTAGTCCTTTGTCTTTGTCAATTTTCAGGTGGAACGTGTCGAAATCAAAGACATCCGTCTACCCCACATGCTAATGCGAAGCATGGCAGCCGAAGCGGAAGCTGTTCGTCGAGCCCGAGCTGCTGTTATCCATGCCGAAGGCGAAAAAAGTGCTTCTCGGTTGGTATGCATGAACGGAATCTGGGAGAGCTTTCCGGAATCTTCTTTATAATGTTCTATCGTTCTGGTTCAGGTGGATGTCAGAAGCAGCGGAGATTATCAGCGAGAACAAGATTGGGGTACAGCTTCGCTATCTCCAGACTTTACATTCAATTGCTGCACAGAGGTTCGTTATTCAGTTATTGTACTAAGGCATAGAAATTCCTATGAATCATTGAAAAGCTTTCAACGCTTCCAACTCTGAAGGAAACCTTGCTTGGAGCTCGGAAAGGACTCGAAACTGCTCACAAAAAAGTATGGTCCAAAGGCAGTGAACACGATGAATGGATGGTGTGGGGGGGGGTTCAGATGACGTCATTGGACGTCATTGGTGGACCAGACCATCTCAGCGCGCAGGGATGTGATTGAGACCACTTTCTGACGGCCTTGTACCATGACGCCCAATGACGTCATCAAAGCTGCTTCAGCTAATAGCCATCGTGCTCACTGCCTTTGAAGTCGAATAAGCAAATTCTGGCTCAATAGACCCGATCCATGCAGTATCGTAGAGCCACTTTTATGCACACTATTGTTAAGCTCACTCGTTGAGACCAGAGATGTCAGAAACCACTAAAGATCGCTCCAAAAAGTGGTGGTTTGTTCGTGACGCGCTGCAAAGTTCACCTTCCACAAGGAAGGGGGCTTGGAGGATGTTTAGTTGCAAAACATTTCTGAAATGTCCTCCGTTAAGCAGAACTAAGCCCTCGCAGCTCTCACCGTCATCAAAATATAGAGCCATCCGCCGCCGCCAATGGTCTCAAAGAACTCGATCGCACTTGCTTCATCTTAAAGCGGCTGTGCAATTCCCCATTCAAGTCACTGCTGGGCACTCTCGTAGAGATCGTGGCTCAGACTCCAAGCCAGCTTGCAGGTAACGAGCAATGCTAGAAACCCATCTCCCTTTAGAATGGGTGGAAGGAAGGCAGGACTCGTCAATGTAAAGCGACACAAGATATGTATATTAGTTGAATCCACACTATGGCTCTTGAAAAAAAATAAAAGACGTAATTGAGTGAATAATATTTCCAATTTTTTTCGGAGCTGACCCTGACTTGGTAATTTTGCACCGGAGTTCTACGCTGAAATTCCAGGTTTCCCGTCGACAATTGCAATTTTATTCTGAAGTCACCTTGTTTAAGGTTATGCTTCCTCTTCAGATTCCGTTTTTACGCTTCCTTATTTCTCTCCAAACTCTTTTTTTCTACAATATACTTCCACTGCACATGTCCTGTTCTCGTCTACATAATAGCCTAAGTAGTTGATCCACGAGAAATTCTGCACGTTATCGCTGAAGAACCGTTCCTTGCAATTTACGGTGCAACCACCGAGCCTTCGGGGAAGAAGCCAGCTTTTTGTGGGATTCCATTCCTCTGCTTAGAAAAGCTGTCTGAGTGACCTCCGGTGCGTGCTAGTGGCTGTTGAGCGGAGAAGTATGCTCGCATGGGCTTTACAATTCTGAAAGGATACTTGTGGATGGGAAGCTCCACGCTGTGAAAGAAAATCGGGTGTGAGACCGCGTGTGTGCTGAGATTATCTGTGTTGTCCGAAGAAGTATCAAAGCTATCGTCTATGCTCACGATATTACCAAGCACTATAAAGGAGGCGACGAAGGGGTGGCCATATACCCTAAAACAACAATCGTACCTCCAGTTTCCCAAGTCTTTTCAGTGCCCGTGCTTGCTATTTTCGGATGTAACTTTGGAGAGGTTGCTCTAGGGTAGTAGATGTGAAAATCCTTGATCCTGTGGGTAAAGAATGTTCTGCAAAAACAGAGTAATCACAAAGAGCGCAATCCTGAAGGGATCTCGCTACGATCCCGTCCCACGCTACGAAAGCGCCTGGGGTGGAAATCGTGGCCCTGGAGTGATGTATTTCCTTCACATTTTCTCCACTCACCAGGAACGGATGGTTGGTCGAAGTGGCCATATGTAAAGAGACCTACACCGTTGGATGTGTTTTTGGACGCTGATCTCGAATCTGCTTTCCAAATCTGCCAAACGATTTTCCGAATGGAGTTATGAAGGAAAGTAGTGCAGCGGTAGTAGTCCGGGTTCACGTGCGAGACGTCGTAGGATCGATTCCCTGGCGGGTTCTCTTTTTTGCCTTCGCTGCAAAATGATTGAAAAAGGCTCCCAACTACCTTACTCGATCAATGCTTGCCTGTAGTTACCCGTGCAAAGACTTTGCGAGGAGTTTCTAATCAGTTTCGGCGGTACTTACTAAAGACTGCACATGGAGCCCACAGAACTCTTGGCAGACGTTTTTGCAGCAAACAAGTGTGATATTCGTGTTCCGGAGATTAAAATACCCCTAGGGACAAGTTTGTAGCCAAATTTGAGATTTCGACCAAATTTCGAAATAAGCTGGGTATCTATCCATTCATCCATCAGCCTATCATCGAAGCCTATATAGCCTTGAGACGATATAAGTTTTTTTTGGTTTCTGAAGAGTGTAAAGCAGTGTCTGGTTTTCTGTTCGCATGATTTCAACACCCACATTTTATTATTTTCAAATTTAAAGGGTCGCCGTCGTCCAACAACTGGAACTACCGGCTATGGATATGTAGCATCAATGAGTGACTCGCCCACTTTTTTGAATTAATTCAAAATCTCGAATTTTTCTAGAAATCGGCCCCAGGAGTTATTGGACTACTTGAACACAGATCTCACATTCGTTCACTCAAAAACGGCTGAAGCGCGCGCTCCGTATACTGGCGCGCCTTAACCTTATATTTTCGAAGTTATCGACCTCAAACTCATCCAAAAGCAAGTAGGGCCGACCAGTGATGAAGAAACCATGTTTAACTACTGCCAAATAG